GGCGTGGAGCAGCTGACAGGGATCACCTCCTACAATACACACGATGAATGGAGAAGAAGATTCTCATCAATGACTCGTCATCATGCAATCATCCCCCGATTTCTTTTTTTTTTTTCGATTGGGGACTCCTCTCACGCTCGGACTTTCCCAACCAATAAAAAAAGAAATCTTTGGGATGATCTCGCGGTAATTTTATCCACAGTCAGTGCCAAAAGCGGCCCGTATTGTGAGCGCGAGCACGACTATGTCCGTCGTCTTTCCTCAGCTAGCACGGTTCCGGTTTTCCTTGATTGCAGCCAGGTGCCGACCGGGCAAAGCGTCGCCGACGGATAATCACCCGCCTCCCCCCCAAAACACGTGTACCAGGACAACGTGAAGACGACAAACGGACAGAGACTTCGCATTGCCGCGGACCTGCACCTGGGCCACATTCTACTCTCGCACGCACAAACGACAAAAATCAAGGCGGTTCATCTTCTTTCCATGATCTAATGGAAGATTCACTCTCGTTGTGCACATTTTCGAAAGTAACGAACAACGGCGGGAGCACATACACAGAGAGAGAGAGAGAGAGAGAGAGGACCTGCACAAATACCCAGTAACGATGGAGGCAGCGGCCGATGTCCAATGAATGAATTAGCGAAGGGACACTCACACAGCCCAGTGACGTGACACAGCCTCCTGATCGCACCTAATGGGTATTATTACCCTGACTTGACACGCAAGAAATTTGATAAAACAGCGTATAGCTGTACCCTAGTCAATCTCTCTCTCTCTCTCTCTCTTTCTCTCTCTCTTCGTTGACCCGTACATAAACCTTCCCAGCTTCGTGTGGGCTTTTTATTTTCCCTCCTTGAAACTCGATTTCCTGACGATAAATATCCGACTTTTTTTTCTTTTTTTTTTTATCTTCTCCCGACCTCCAGTTGCGACTCAATCACTGGTCATTTTTTGAATCTGGTCGTCTTCTGAATCTCGGCCCTTCGCTTCAAGCTTGACTGGATCACGAGCCCCTTGTTTTATTCATTCATTGCTGATCGAGCAATCTCCTCCTGAATGAGAACGCTGATTAATTGACTGCCAAACTAATTACCCCAGACACACACATACGGTATGTCATCATCATCATCATCCACACTGTGCTGAGTGGGCAAGCCGACGTGAGCGGATCAACACTCCGCCGTCGGCATGTCCGCTCACGTCGGACGTCAAATGCACCTCCCTCTGCACCTCCCTCTCCCGTCGATGGACCCCCCCACACTCCCCCGTCGATCATCGGCTCTCCTCAACCCCCCCCC